TCAGATTTGTTTAACTAATGTATGTATTGTAAAGTAATAAACACTATTAAATCATGTGACACATAGTTATCAATTAGCAAAAGCTTTACTAGTTTCAAAATTCATTACTGTTTTTGGCTTTTTTATGGATTATACAAAATTGGCAAACTTGTGAAATCTTATAAAGACTAGATGTATCTGAATAACATAAAATGAGCTGTGTATATTAAAGTGGTTAGTATGCCCAGATTATGAACCCAAGGATTCCTGCTTTGCATCCACTGCTGCAAAAATGTGCTCCACACTTGAGAGCCATGGGTGTGCTAAAGAGTGGTGGTCAAATTTCATTATTTAATTAAACATGAATGGCCTAATAACTCACTACTGGTAGGTCAGTGTTTGCATGTCATGACTTTTTAGTTATATTCAAAATTTAATTAAACTACTTTATTATCAATCTATACAAATAAACTTGGCATCAAAACATAGATAATAAATCAAGTGTTTATATCAGATAAGTTTTAATTCTTAATTTTATTTCACTTTTTCTTCAGTTTTTAATAACAAAGATTTAAGCAATATTCCTCATCCTGAACAATTGCTACCTGGAAACAACATGATTTCATTAATCCCGAACTTAAGAAAAAATAAGACGTTTAGAGAATAATAAAGCTTCTGGACCAAGTAATATTTATTTGATGGTTTTGAATGAGGATAAGGATTTGACATGTGAGCAGCTTAACCCTCTCACTACAGGCAGGTCAAAGTGCACATGTCACAACTTTTAAAGAGTTACATTCAAAACTTAATTAAACTACTTTATTATCATGGTACATAAATAAATTTGGAATATAATGTGGTTAATAAATCAGATTTTAGTATTATTTTAATTAAGTTCTAATTTCATAAGGAAACGTTTAAAGAAACCTCAATTTTTCCTAGTATGAGAATTGTGACATATGTTCTCTAGGTCTTCTCCCATCTCTAATTTATTTATCACTTCTGTGAGAAGTATGGAATTTAAAGTAAATTACTCATTATGATATGCATATTACTTAGGCAAAGTCTAATTTTTGTAGCCTTCAATCTTATGTGTTCACAAAGTCGTACACTAGAAAATCAGACACTTTCCATGCCCACCTGTCACATCCTCTGTTTCACAAGTTGTCAGTAGTTCTCTCTGACTCTTTATACTATACTATTTATAACCAATATAAAGATGAAGTTTTGATCTATCAAATGCTATATATATTACATTGTTTTCAGTACAGAGTATTGTCTATTTTGTTTTTAGTTTGAAAGTTTCTCTTGTGGTTTTCAGATCAAGAAGTTTAAATAATTATTTTAAGGCTCTTATGTCATAGTTAGGAAGTCAATTAAATTGTGATTGATATATGACAATGTTTGCTTTGTAATATTATTTTTCTGTATTCTTAGTTGTATTATTCAAGGAAATAAAGGTTATTTAATGTACTAAAACCATTAGTATAAAAAGAAAAGTAGGCTTAGGGCTAAGGTAAGTACTATATTTTTTATTTTTCATGTATATTATTTATTTATTGTTATAAAAGTAACTAAAATGTAAAAATTAGAAACGTATTAGGTTAGATTAAGCAAGATAATGAAAAATAATAATAAAAATTGTTCATGAGGTGTGCTCATGAGCAGCTCGTGTATTACATCAACCAATAAGGTAATGTGAACTGACTATGCATTCACTGAGTGATTTACATTTTGTATGGTAGGGTTATTAGTTAGACATGCTTCAAAGGGCAATAAAACAATAAACAGATATATGCTGTTATGAGACTTAAGCTATTTAGAATAAACAAATGTGAGTTTCTGTTACAATCTGTAGTCATTCTAGAAAGAAGAAAAGGTTGTTTTTTGTGTGTGTGTGGTTATAAGGTTGGTCAAGCGAATAGTGTCCATATAGAGTTAGGGTAGAGAAAATAACAGATAAAGTATAAAGTTTTACTGAAAAAAAAACCGTTTGATATTTATTTAGGAGGTTGTAGAAGTTATGCTAATGAAATTTTAAAATTATCAGATGAAAAAAGTATTTTTAATATTGACATGAAAATCACTTTGCACTCAGAGCAATCAACACTCTGACTCCGTATATTCACAGACAAATCTTTAGTAATAAATATACTTAATTAAATAATCTGATTTTGTATACAAAAGACTTGTAATTTTTACTGACTTGCCAAAATTTTGTTTGCATACATCTACCATATTAAAAATAATAGTATGGAAACTGTTATGATTACTTCATGGTTATGAGGTTGGTCAAATCAACCAAGCCTGTATGGAAAGTGCTAATTGGTGGTGAGTGCTGTTGACCAGCTGCTTTTCCTTTAGTCTGTAGCTATGCACAGATTACCCTTTGTATAGCTTTGCATGAAAGTTTTGAAACAAACAAATTAATGAGTAACGTAATCGTTGATGAAAATAATTACCTGCAGTTTTAGTTGCTAACTTTCCTGAATTCTAATGAAATTGGTTATTATACTCCTTATTCTTTAATAAAACTTTCTAAATCTTTTATCAATCATGAAGCATTGTGCACAAAATGTTTTAAATTCAAATATTATGTCATCAGTTTGTTTATAAACACTAAATTATACACCAATGACTATTCAAAGTATGTGTTTAAGAAATACTGCATGAATGAGAATTGCCTATCAGTTTGTCTTTTAATTGCAAATATGTTATTAACATACTGTTTTAAAAAGTTTTTCTGAGTGAATCAATATCTATTTCAGTTGATGTTATTCTGTTTTTTATTGTGAGAAGTCAGAATTATTGCTTGTTATTTATAGATTATCCTTGAGTTCATTAACTTTTATGGAGAAGCCATAATGCTTAACTATCTTACAGGTCTAGTGGAATATCTTTGACTTATCAAACATTAATTTGTTTTACTGACTAACACAAAGTAATTAATGTACAAAATTACCTAATTATTTTTACATTGCAATATTGTATAAGTAGTTAAATGTAGCTTCTGATCACATAACTTGTCCTTTTCATTAAACTGTTTGTTGTTGACATGACATGTGTATATATTGTTTTTTGTATATTTATAAAAATTTATTTACTACCTAACTGAGGTTTTTTCAGCACAGTTAAATTTAAAACCTGGTTGGCTGTAACTAATAATAAAAATTTTATAAACATCAGTTTTTGTGTTTTTTACTCTTAATATGTATTTTGTTTGAAGTTAAACTATTCTGTTGTTTTAGAGATAGCTTTATTTTGCTAGAGTTTATGTGATTTTGTACTCAGTGTTCTTTCCTTTGAGGTTATCTGTTTATCATCTTAATATGTATTTACAGTACAAATATTTCTGTTGTGAAGAATATATCTTACATGGTCTTCTTAGAAGGCTCTTGTTGCAGTTGCTAATTTTCAGCCATCTGTAACTTAACATAGAATTTATCTTCATACATTCAGGTTATTACCCTAAAATGTTGAGCAGGTGTTCTGCATATAGCTGTCGTTTTCCTGTAAATTTACACTAATCCTTTACCTTAACTAAAGGTTACATAGTACAAGAATTATTACATTTGGTTTATACCTGCTTGGACTTGTTTCTGTGTTGGCTCCCTGGAATGATGTTATCTTCATTTCCTCATTTCAAGGGGTTATACAGATACAAGTCTTTATGACTTTGTTTATTTACAATGAGCATTGAGGTAGGTAACAAGGTTTGCATATTACACTAGCACATCTATCTAGCATAAAATTGATGTACTCTGTTATTCTGGATCTCTTTATTCCTTTCTTTGTTTTATGCAGACATGCAAATTTTTATTTTCCATCTCGGCAGCCATATATAGTCATAAAACACGGAAGAAGTTGAGACTTACACTTTCTATTTCAATAAAGGTAGTGCTTATTTATTCACCTGTCATTTGTTTCCTTTGTGTTCAGAATTACTCTGCACAACATTTCTAGAACATGCAGTGTACCTGAATAACACAAAGTAGGTATCAAGTTTTATTTTGGTGCTGTAATCAAAGGATTTGTTTGTTGTAGAGTTTACTTTCAACATGTCTCTTTGTCCTTTTGACTCTCCGTACTGTAAGATATGTAAAATATGATCATTATGGAAAGGCACTGTCTAAGACCACTAGAACTTATGGTGTGGTTGATGTGAAAAAACAATTAGAAAATGCAGTACAGATTAATAAAGGCACTCTCGTACACTAAGGGCTATTGTCAGCAGTGGTAACAATGTTCAAATTGTTTTATCTTTTTTGGGACTGGGAGATTGATAAGGCAGCTAGGGGAATATAGTAGTTATTTTCATATGCTGGGGTGATCTCTGTAGTACAATGATGCATGATGCAATCCTCCTGACTTGAAGAAGATGATGGGGGCTTTTGCTGAAGACACACAGCCTCTCAGGTGCACAAAAAAGAGAAATTGGTAGCAGGTACCTGTCTTCATCATTATTTGATTATAGTGATGATGCAGGTACTTGTAACTACCTGATGTATATCACTGTGCCTAAATACCACATCTCAATAGTGTAGATAAGAATTTACTATAAAAATAAGTTTTAACCACATTCTGAACCACATTGTTATTTTGTGGTCAACATAGAGCTTAATAATTATACTTTTCGATTCTACATTTCTTAAGTTGTACTGAAGAAGAATATAGATGGTAGATATTTTTGGTATTGTGTAGTTCATTAAAAAAAGTCATTTTTATTAAAGTTGTACAAAAAAGGGTTTTATCCTTATTACCATATAGTACAGCTATGGATATGGCTCATATTTAGTCATTTTAGAATAAAAGTAAAAGCTTGAGCTAAAAAATGTTAAAATACACATTGTTCAAAATTTATGTGTAAGCCTTCTCTAATAATGGAATTTTAATTAATGTCATATCAGTGTTTTTAACTGGTATAAAAAATCAACTTATATTTGCAGTTTTCAATTTCTTTATTATTGTTTTTCTTTTTTGCCCAACCTTTTGTTCTTCATAACTTTCAGTTATGTGAGTAGTAATAATAGTATGTCTATTACAGAAACGTAACATACATTGTTTTCTTCCTGGGATTTCATGTGGGAGACCTTGTAACAAAATCTTGTCCTGTGGTCATCATTGTTGTCAGCGGGTTTGCCATCAGGGCTCATGTGAGAAGGAGGACTTTAAGTGTTTGCAGAGCTGTAGCGTATCACGAACAGTCTGTCAACATCCTTGTGGTAGCCTATGTCATGATGGACCATGTCCAGAAACTGTTTGTAAGGCTTTAGTGAGTACATTTTTTCATATTTGAATATATTTTATTCATTATTCTAACTTGAGAATAATTCAAGGTTTTCACACTGTATACTCTGTCAAATGTTATCTGTGACTAGTATGGTTAGTTGAAAATATTTTAAAAACTGTGGTATGTAGCTGTTTATATTCTAATACCTTAGTGATGTAAGAAATAATTTACCAAACAGATATTAAAGCCTCAACCTTTAAATACCTGTACAACTTGCTTAAAAAAGAGAAATTCATACATGTTTTTGTTAAGTGACAGTATTGAGTAACACAAGTTTGTGAAAAATTGTCATTTTCTTTGGTTTTGTTGTTTTAATTAATTTTTTTTCTGCCAAACGCAAACCTAGGGGAAAAACTGTAGGAAACATAAATATGAACAGTAATAATTTGCATTTCAACAAAGCTGTGTGAAATATTACTGCTAAATACATATTCTGTTTCATGATAAAGCTTTATTACAGTTTCATAAAGTGAGACAAACATAAAACATTATTCTCAAAGAAACTAAAGTTTGTTGTAAATTTATTATTAGCATATTTTATAATGATGATAAAGCCATTGTAAATCTGTATATGACTTTTTTAGAGGAATTAGTTTTACTAATTCTTGATTATTCTGTTTAATAGTAACTGAATATACTAAACCCTCAAAACTTTAGTCAGCAATCTTCTATAAAATTAAAATGATAATTCATTTTCAAGTACTCTGTTAAACCAAACTGATTTAATTGTTGCATGGACTAACTTTGGAAAAAAGGCATAGAAGCATTTGCTAACCTGAAGACTACATGTATATCAGTGCAAGCATAGGATGATGATGATGATTGAAAAATTCCTTTTTTTTGATAAGATGATTAGAAATCTCACTTTATAATTTAAACTTGCACGCACACAATAGTGTTCATATCTGATTTGTTGTCAGTACATTCATGATGTTTGTTTGTATAAACTTCACAAGTTTGTCATTTGTGAAATCAGCAATAGGGCTATTTTCAAAAGCTTAATAATAAACTGTACTAGTTTGAGTACTAAAATCCTCATTGTTAGATATTGTAATTGAAATAATGAGACATTTGTTAAAAATGCATGTAATTGTTTTATACTAACCAAGAAAGGCCCACATCTCAAAGCTCCTTGAACTTTTCGGGTCTATGTCTACTTTTCTTGCTAATATGATGTTATTCTTAACCCAATGAATACGGGTTTGGTTGAATCCTTCCAGCCCGTAACCATGAGAGTAATTGTACTATCATTTTTTGATAATTCATGCAAATCTTTACAGAATTTTGCATCTTATTTTATTAGTAAACATTACCAGGCTTTCATGCACAAAATATCAGGTTTTTAAATTAAGCATTAAGATTTTTTTATTAAAAATTTGCTCATGAAATTTTTCTTTTAGGATGTTGACCATCCAAAATGCAAAGTAATTTTGATTTTAAGATTAAAAATACTTTTCTTTATCTGAAATTTGTCAAGTTTTATTTGCATAATTTCTATATCCTTCTAGATAATTGTCTAAAACTTTATATTTAAACCGTTATTATATCAATATTAACTCTATATGACCAACCATCATAAAAATGAAGAAATAAATCTAAATTACTTTTTTTTGTTTTAGAATAATTGCAAGTTGTAACAGGAAACCACAAATGTTAAATCAAAATAGCTTAAATCTCATAACAGTATACATCTATTTATATTTATTAATTTTTGTATTATTGACCTTTGAACAGTGTCTGACTAAAAATACTCCAACTCAAGTTGAAAATTACACTGCACACAAGCAGCTCATGTTAACTCAATATGGACTCAGTCATTTTGACCAACCACGTGACCTTTTGTACTCTTTTAAAGTCTTTATAGATTTAATACTTATAGCTCTCAATATAGTGTGTATATCTTCACGAAATTTGGCAGTATTTC